TTACATGGCAGCTGACATTTTGTGCAAATGAGTTACTTATTGATGAACTAAAGCAAATCATTTGTGTTTTACATTTTCACTTGTAAATGCTTGCATTTTCTCTTTAGTCCAGCTGGCCTTCTAAGCCCTGATATAATGGATCCACAAGAAGAAGAATTGTCATGGTATATTAATTAAGAAAAGTATCAGCAATATTCTTACTTAATAATGTACTTGTAAAACATAACTGGTATATCATAATGCTGTCTAAAACACTCCATTTTAATCACAATTTGACAGTGAAGAGGATGTACTGCGATGGCTAGCTGCTCAAGTTGACACCTCCAAAGAATTCAGTATCTGTGTGTCTAGAATGAACCTCTTAGAAAGAGGTATGTCACTGTGGAAGCGACAAAAGCTCAGCTCCCCAATCAACACTTTAAAGGTTACATTCATGGGAGAGGCTGGAGTTGACACAGGTGCTCTGCGTAAAGAATTCCTGACAGGTGAGGTTTTTTGCATCTGATACCCTTGACCACAAAACCTTTGCAATGTTAATTCATTTGTTCTGGTCAGATTGTTTGCTGTCTCCATATTGGAATGTTGCGGAATTATTTCTTTTTTTTTTACTATAGAAATGATTAGTGGCATAGAGACCCGGCTCTTTGGCATTTTTCCTTTACCATCCTCTCCTTCAAAGTACTTGTTAAATGACCTTGACAATGGCCTGTTTCGGTAAGTGTCATTAAAGAAATAGTTCATCGAACATGGTTTAGATTAGACTTGCATGAGGAGTCTATAAAAACAGAAAATTAAGTCGTTTTTTTTCTGTAGAAAACAATTAAAGGTATTTTGAACATTATCTCAGCTGTTCTTGTTGTTGTCTATATAATTAAAGTCCATGAAAAGATTCATACCTTTTGAAATCCAAAAACAAGAATAGAAGTTTTATTTTTTTTGGCGAATAATCCAATTAAGAGCAAATACCTTTTGAACATGAGTTTAAAAAAATACTTGCTGACTGTAGAAGTTGTATTTCACGATTTTTCCTGTCATTGTTATAGAGTTGCTGGGGAAATCTTTGCCGTAAGTCTCGCGCAAGGTGGTCCAGCTCCACGATTTCTACAGGAGTGGTGTTACAATTACCTCTTAAGTGGAAACCTTGAAAACATCACGATGGATAATGTTAATGACATGGAATTTTCACCACTGATTAAAATGGTATATCTGAAAACAACTTGTAATTCTGTAGTTTATTTCTATTGCCATGTACCCTTTATGAATGTTTCAAGAAAATCTTCAATTCTTTCTAGATCGAGGAGACTTCAGACCTGTCGAATTACAGTGAGCAAATTACGAGCTGTGGCTACACTGGCCCTATAAATGACCAAAACAAGGGTAATATAAAGAGGTATCACTTTATGCATTTCTTAAATCTATTTTCCAAACAATGTAAGTAATAATAATTAGATTG